CCTAACAAACTTTGTGCTGTAACACTATACATGCAACAAAATCTAAGAAAACAAGTACATTTTTAATGTTTGTGTCCAAAAAAAGCCTCTTTGATATGTTTTTTTTTTTTAAAAAAACAAGGCCAGTTTCTGCAAGTATTTGGTGGTTCTAAGAAAACCCAAAAATACATACAAACCCAGCAGCTTAACCTCAACTCCAACGAACCTTTCAGTATTTACTTCTGTTTGACCTACTTGTCCAAATTGCTATCCAGCTTCATATTCCTGCAGCGCACCAGGAGAGGCCGCTTCAGTTTATTCATGGGCTGTTCATCCAACTTCTGACTCCATTCCAAGAAGTTTTTCCTCACAATGTCATCCAAGACCTGAACCGTCTGACCATAGGAAGAAATGATCTCCGTGCAGATTGCAGATTGAGGAAAAGAGGGATACATCTGAAAGAGCTAAAGAAGGCGAAGATGATAGCAAAAAGTAATCAACCTTAACTAAAGTTAGGGGCATTAGTGACTGATGGATACCTTAATGTGTTCTTCAAGGAGATTCTTGAGGCCCCTGGCCCACATGGCCTGTCCCACACTTTTTGGCAGGTGATAAGGAATGTACCATTTACATGGACTCTGATTTCCCTTTTTGATCAGCAACTTTAGTTCTGTGGTGAAGATGCTGATCAATTCTTTGGACTTCTCCTCTAATAAAGGCCCTATGGTCTGTGTTGGTGAGGAGGAATGTGAGAAGGAAAGTAAGAGATGACAGGACGGCTAAAAAGATGTGCCATGGGTCAATAAAGCAAAGTGAAGATTAAGATGTGACATGTGAGTGAGCGTTTGAAACCTTGCTTTTGGTCATTGGATGGAAAAAGTCCCAAATCCTGACTCCTCCCTGGAATGTTACCACATCGGCAAAAGCCAAATTGATCACCTCCGGTATCATTTTTTCTATATTGCTCACAGATTTACAAAACCTAAAGAAACAAACAAACACAATTATGTAATTATAGATTGCATCTTTGAAGGAGCACAAATTCCAACCTGTTATAAAGAAAAGCATGCTTTTTTGCAAAACATCCACAAATGACTGGAATGTCATTAAATAACTTATTTGGTAATCATTTTCAACCATTTCCGTTTGTCTTTTTTACCTTTACATGGAGTCAGCTGTTTTTTAAAATTATATAAATTTTGCTTGGTAGTTTAATTACATATCACTGGCAGTGCTTGCACTGATACAAAGTACATGCATCTCTGCTTCAACACATCTGCCACAATATGAGTTTCAATAGAAGAGCTAGTTAAAGAGCTTATCCATTTGATTCAGGCAAATAGGGTGGATAACACATGTACAAGTTCTAGGACACTGGCCCCCTAAGGGGATTTTCAGACCTGCAGCTTTAAAAAGCACAATGGAAGCACAAGCAGTCTCTAATGTGCACCAAACTAGTGTGCTCCTGGTGCACACTAGTTGATGTCTTAAAACAACTGTACTCTGCTGCGACCCAACTGCCCGGCACACTCAACAAGCTTAAGCTAAAAGGGCTGCTGTAGTCACCTCAGTAATACAATGTGCGTTGGCCGGGAAATTTTCAGACAAGCAAACTAAAGAAAGATGGAAACTTGTCACAGACAGACTTGGATCTCAAAACAAACAGTGCTGTGGTGGATACAGCACACCCCCCTTTTGGAGACCATAATAAATGTTTACTACATACTTTGTTGTATTGAGATTAACAGCCGGTGGCTGTCACCTAAGGCACTCGAGACTTATCCCACATCCTCCACTCCGCGCCACTCAGCTCCAGTCTGCCTGCACAAAGTAAAGCCTACATCCTCCACGGTTCCTCCCACTGATCTATATTTATTTACTGGATAGTTGATAGCCCATTGGTAGCATGGAGTGGAGTGACGAAATTAGCCACCATATTGGTAATCCCTGGTTAGATTGGTCGCAATGTAAACAATACATGCACATCAGCTTGAAACAAAACAAAAAATTTCAGGGGGCTTAAGACTTTTAAAATAAAGACTTATTCATCAATTTGACACACACTTGCTGTTTCATAGCATAAGTAGATAACTGTAAGTTATGATTAAAAAAAATAGACAAATCAAATTGCATAGTCATTATGAAGTCAATGAAGTCTATAAATCATGTAATGTAACATATTATACAAATTAGGAGTGGAACGGTTCACAAAATCCACGGTTCGGTTCGGTATATGTTTATTGTCAGAAAAATCTATTATGTCTTGTATAGTATAACACGTGTTGCACAATGCTTGCACACTGTTGCACTTTTATCCACAACTTTCTTTCCGCCATCATTGTAGGTCATTCCAAATGTAAAGGGGTCCCATACAGCAGACCTATAAAGTGCTGCTGGCGCTAGGCTTCTAACTCCTGTTCTTTCCCACTCGCCATTCCCACACAATTCTCCACAACAACTGATTTTTTTCTGCTAAGCTGCTTCGCTTCTTCTTCTTGTTTACTACTGGTGGTTGGCTTTGGTTGCAGTACCGGCACCTTCTGCTCTGGAGTGTACACGCTTCGCCTATGAGAAAAAGGAGCAGCACATGAACCGAACGCAACACACGCGAATCGAACCGAGACAATCGAACCAAACGGTTCAGGCAGTTTTCATAAACCGTTCCATCCCTAATACAAATCCATCACAACATAACTAAAGTTTCAATGGACAGCAATAGAGCAGATGTGCCAAAAGTGCTAAATTGATGATGAACATGTAATAGACATTTATGGATTACATTAATATGGTAATTACATTTTACATATAATATCAATACTTCACATCAAGACTGAATTTAAAAGTACATATCTGTTAATGCTATAGTATTTTCCTATTTGCAAATTGTGCTGCATGATACCATATACTTTTTAATGCTGTGTCTGTGCATTAGCCTTTAAAAATATTTGAGTTGATTTTTTTTGTTAATATAACATTCAATATGTTTCAGCACGAGACCTTTTCAATTGAGGAATAAAACAAACACTACAAAAAACAACAGCATCATCCACTTAATAAAGAATTAATACATTGATCTTTCACAGTGAATTAAATTCTACACTGCCTGACCAAAAAAAAAGTTGCCACCAAAAAAAAAAGGTCACTCACTCTAATACTTCTTTGGACCGCCTTTAGCTTTGATTACGGCACGCATTCGCTGTGGCATTGTTTCGATAAGCTTCTGCAATGTCAAAAGATTTATTTCCATCCAGTGTTGCATTAACTTATCACCAAGATCTTGCATTGATGATGGTAGAGTCTGACCGCTGCGCAAAGCCCTCTCTAGCACATCCCAAAGATTCTCAATCTTTGGGATCGTCTTGGATTATCATATATAACAGACTTAAATTCCCTTGTCGGTCGTCGGTATCTGCGTCAGGTGAGAATCTTAAGGTGCATGTTAAGGAGCATTATTTGTGCTTGCTCCTAAAGCAGATGGATATTTATGTATATTATTTTGAAGCAGTTGCCATGCTTCATTTTCAAACATTACTGTTTCCCAATGGTTGTATATGCAAACCATACAGAGAAAAAATGTGAGACACTAATAACCAGCATGCCTTTGTCTCCGTCATGAAAATTTTATCAATTTTTAACCATGTGGCTTGAGAATCTCCCCACAGCCGTGTAGCAAGCAGTGGAATAGAAGGCCTGAGAGCGAAACGAAAAAATAAAAAAAACGGTCCCAGCTACAGTGTGAAATCAATGAGTAACCCCCACCAATCACAAAACACAGGCTGTGGTCCACTATTGGTTCCTGACACGTCAATCAGGGTCGTCTGCTTCTCCCTCCCCCCTGTGCGGGTATCCTGACACATGAACGAATCGATCCCCAATGCTTGTGCAGGCGCAAGGACAGGTACAAATTGTGATTCCCGTGTGTTTTTTGTTTGTTAAGACCACACAATCACCCAGCATTGCACGACACCTACAAAACCTACAAAGACTTTTTAAGCCCCCTCCACCCCACCCCATCTCTTCATCCATGCCTGCTAAAATAAATTTGTTTTGAAGTTGTGAGATTCGTCTTGGAAGTTGTTGTGACTGGACTCAGAACCTCTGGATTCCAAGCACAATGCCCTAACCACTAGGCCACCACTCCCCCTGCCTGAGAAGATAGTTCATCCTTATTAGAAGTAGACCCCTGAAAGTTTACCAGCATACAAAGAAACAGCAACATATATGCTGTTTTCTGTTAAAGGCTCAGAGAAAGGAGCTTTGCTCAGTCCACTGAGCAGTGCCACATTGAAATAAATAAGTAAAAGCGCTCCCTTAATTCCTCACTTCAAAAACATATTGTTTTACATTATCATATATAACAGACATAAATTCCCTTGTCGGTCGTCGGCGTCTGCGTCAGGTGAGAATCTTAAGGTGAATGTTAAGGAGCATTAATTTGTGCTTGCTCCTAAAGCAGATGGATGTTTATGTATATTATTTTGAAGCGGTTGCCATGCTTCATTTTCAAACATTACTGTTTCCCAATGGTTGTATAAGCAAACCATACAGAAAAAAAATGTGAAACACTAATAACCAGCATGCCTTTGTCTCCGTCATGAAAATTTTATCTATTTATCTCGGTTTCTTTTTCAGGGCTTCTGGATTTCAACCAGTTGTCATGGAGACATAACACTCTACAAGTACTGCGGTATCTGGTCCTGTGTGACAAAAAGCAACCGCACTAACTGAAAAATGAAAGAATGTATCATTTTATTATTCGGAGACGCGCTACAGTGAGCACTAAACATGTGTGAAAGCATCCTACAATTTGAGTTTGAGACCACTAGTCTAAGCAGCATGTTCCAGTGTTACCTTAGCAAAGGTAAGCGCCTTCCTGGCTTTTTGGAACCAGATACCTACCTGAGAACATTTTTCATTCTTTTTTGAAGCAGGCCCCTGAAACAGCTCCTAAACCTGGTCCTTTATATCAACAGATTTCACAGGTAGGGGTTGAGAGGGGTTATTGTCCATTGCTTATTCTAATAGGCGACAGTGGCTTTGGATGTAGGAGTTTGCCCTGAAATCGAAGGATTGACGGTTCAAGCCCCGACTCCGACTTTCAGTGTCGATGTGTCTTTGGGCAAGACACTTCACCTGCATTTTCTACTGATGGTGGTCAGAGGGCCCGGTGGCGCCAGTGTACGGCAGCCCCGCTTCTGTCAGTGAGCCCCAGGGCAGCTGTGGCTACAATGTAGCTTGCCACCATCAGTGTGTGAGTGTGAATGGGTGAATGAATGAATGTAGTGTAAAGCGCTTTGGTCAAGTCTTCTGACTTGAATAAAGGCGCTATATAAGTACATGCCATTTACCATAAAAAGTCTGAATTAAAAAATTGTAAAGTAATTCCATTTTCCTAGCTGCAAGGATAAAATGAAAGATTATTAACAGTCTTTTACTGAAGTTGCAGCATCAATGTCTGCTAAACATAGATTTATGAAGCACATTTAACACAGATCCATCCTCTCAGCAGCTGTAAGACTCCAACCACCACTGTTCCCAACAACCTCAACAAGTTGTTAAACTCATGCTGATTTTGTACAGGTTCAACCTTTTTCAAGTTTTTTACCTTTTGTGACCATTTTGTGTATAATCTTTTTGCTGCTGTAAACACCAGAATGTCTCCATTGTGGGAGAATAAAGGGATTTTCTATTCTAAAAAACGGGAAATCTAGCTGTTTAATGTATGTCTTACTAACAGTTTTAGCCCTAAACTAAATATATTTTGGAGCAGTGGACAAACCTGTGGAATTCCTTGGACCATGTCATATTTTGTAAGTCAAAGACTGCTTTGTCAAAAGATCGCAGGTTCTCCAGTGCTTCATTGAAGGAGGTCTGAATCTTCACCAGCCTGCTGGTAACCTCTGAGCCTGTGTGGCCTCCGAAGACAGGGATGTCTCTCTCCTGTCCATTTTTCCAGCGGACAAATGGCATATCCTGCCACTCACAAACCTGAAAAATTATCAAAATAAATATATGATGAAAACAGAAACAACAGCTTATGAGTTCATACATTGCTATGGGAAGGTATTTTCCCCTCAGTGATGTATTTACATGTTTCCCATCAGCAAAGAAAGCAGAATATCAGACAGTGATAGCCTCAGCAAGTGAAAAATGCAATCTTTAAATATTTTACTGAACTGGAAAAGGGCCATGTAAACCAGAGTATCCCAGTGTTGAAAAGTATTTTCTCCATTGTTATACTATAATTAATTATGCTCCACTACACAAATCCGGCCTGCACACTCCATGTCTTGTTGAGCCAATAAATCTCCTGAAGAGAGTATGACAGACCATACCAAGAAGGCCAACATCCTATATTGATCTAAGGTTCAAAGAAAAAAAAAAAAAAACTAACCATAAAAAAACAAATGACAAAAAAACTCTTATGTAGTGGCCTAATCAAAGTCTTGAGTTAAATCAGACCATAAGATCTGTTGGAACCCATAGTGCCGGTACAAAACATTAGTGTTCAAGGCATAATATACACTGGAAATCGGAATCTACATTATGCTGGGAACCTTAGACTATCTAAGCTAGTGTATAGAGGTTTGGTGAACTGTATAAAGGAAAAATAAACAATAAACAAATATAATATAACAGGGTGTCTACAAGTATAAACAAGTTAAATTTAATACTTTTTAAGACCTTTCAATACCACTTTTTAATGAAATTTAATACCAAACGTATGATGGAAATACAAATCAAAATGACGGTTGAAATTTAGCTACGCATCTGGTTTTGTCTTTTCCACAAGTAAATGACTGAACTAGCCCCGAATCTGGAAACATTGCTTTGAACAGTTCTTCAATCCCGTCATTAGACCTGAATGAATGGTGGCTTGTCACGGTCCTCAGCACCCAAATCACCTCTGCTCGGAGTGTTGGCGTGGAGCCACAAATTGCTCGGAGCTCAGATGGCACGCTTGTTGCGCTTGCGGTGGAAACGGTGGAGCAGAAACTAGCAATTGCAGGCTGCTGGCATGCTTTTACATAGTCTTTATGTTTTTTACTCTGTACATTAGATTCAACTGCTCTGATCCCCATTGTCCCAAGTTTGAAATTCTTCCAACATACAATGCAGCTAGCTTCATAGGCGCTGCCAGCCACCGACCATAACCAAGAATATTCATTCTTTTCTAGCCATTTGTGATTAAACTTGCATTTCCCCGTGTTTAAGTAGTCGAGTGGCTATCGGTGCTGTATTCGGCCTACCTGTAGATGCTTTAGCCTACGCCATCAAGAGCTACGCGATACGAGCTGCGCAATAGGCTACGCTCTGACCTAACCATAGACAACACAGCGCATAGGCTACCGGAAAAAAATATTCGACCTCGCATAACAGATTGCCCACATTTTCACGATGACATGACATACAAATATTTAAGAACCATGCAAAATTAATTTAAGACAATTTAATACTTTTCAAGGCCTTATTTTGAGAGAAATTGATTTACGACTTTTTAAGGACCCGCGGCCACCCTGTATAAAATGGCCATGAGGCTTATAATAATGCCGATTGTCTAGAGATCACACAAATATTTTTTTAAATACAAGAAGTCACAACATTTCAGTACCCTATTTATGCCATTAAAGCAAAAATCCATTTAAAACACACATAGTGAATATACATCTTAATAAAATGATCTAATTACCAAATGCCATATGGCAGTTATTTTGGTTTAGACAGCAATAATCATGGATGTCTTGATCTGATATTGATATCGGAAATCAATCCTGCATCAGTCAAAAAATCATTATCTGCACATATCGGCCCACATTTAAAATCCCCAATATCCGCAAGCTGATAAAAAGACTCCACTTCTATCCGTTTCTTTTTAAGTCTAATTGACTTACTAGTTAACAATAAATGGGTTAGTTGTTTTCATAGCTATTTTCATTGACTACTTTTCTCTGTTAGAATAATAACACTTATAAAGCCTTTTCTTTTATGCGACACTACAATATATGTAATATAAGTGTGTATGATTCTTGCTTATATTGTATCAGGCCAATATCAGCATCAGTCAATACTCAAAGCTGCAGTATCAGTATACTATTAGAAATAAAAAAAAAGTAGTATCAGGGCTAAGATGTTTTGGCGAGCACGTTTTGCCTGATATTGCGAGCTGTTCAATGATTTGATATATTAAAGTCTGGATAAAAGCTAAATATATGTTTGTTGTTTATTCTGTTTATTCTAATTTCAACTGGGAGTGCACTGTTATTATTTATTAAATAATTCAAAAGGATTGAGGGAGTTCTCATAGTGCAGTGGCTTAAGTCTTTAACTGGCATGATGCAGGAAAGGCATCTTAATTTAGTTAAGTCAGACAAGTAAGTTATGATGGCTTGCTGTGGTGTCGCCTGAAAAAGAAAGTAGTTGAGAGAAACGAAATCTTTTCTAAAGTGTTAAAATATTTATACTCTTTTGATAAAGAAACTCTGTAAAACAAGCAAAATAAAAAGTTTTACCTCAAGCAAGTTTTTCAGTCTATCAATGAAGGCATCAATCTGATCAAAAAACTTTGTTTTGTCCAAAACCCAGCCTTTGGGATCACACCTGCAAGAAGAAAAGCAAAAAAAAAAAAGACTGCTAAAATAAATTACAGATTAACTATAAATACTTTCATGTTGCCCTTCTTGTCTTTGCTTTATGTTTTTGAAAACAAATGTAAAGATCTTTCTGTAAATTTCCTGGTTAGGAAAGGAAGCATTGCGGATAAGATATAATAAACATGTATTAATATATGTGCTATAAGTACTAAACATAATCACGGTGAAAAAAGGGCAACCTAGAAACAAAAAAAAAACAAAAAAATCAAAAGGTACATTTTAATAAAAGGTCAGTGCACTGAATAAGTGTTCCTTGTTGAAATATTCTATAAGCTTAACACCAATAATTGATGTTTTCCAAAATATACCAAAATAAACTATGCTGGCCTTAGAAAATAGTTCTCTTAAACAGAGACTACAATTATCCTACGTGTGATAAATCTTGGAGACGTGCAGATACATATCCTTCCAGTGCTCGCAGCAGTGGATACAATCGTTCAGGACTTGCTTGCTAGATATCACATGGCCTCCAAAGATCCTGTCCAGAGAGATGTTCACACTACACAGACGGATGATCTCATTAGTCACCTGAAAGTTTGCAGAAAACAAACAATTTTCAGCTTAAGTGTTCTTAGGTCGAAATGGATTTGTCTTCTTCTGTTTTGCTTTCTCCTGCTGAAACAAAACAAGAGCAAAAAATTTAATAATGAAATGTTTTGGTAATAAAACGAAACGTTCAAAAGACATTTACCTTAGTATTTGCACTGAGAAAAATAAGGGTGACTTGGACAGAGGAGTCTAGGGCAGGGGTCTCAAACTCAAATCCTTGAGGGCCTGTAATTTTTAGATGTTCCCCTTCTTCAGCACACCTGAGCTCATCGGCAGCACTAGACTGCTGTACGTGAGGTTGTTTAGTCATTTGTTTCTATGTGGAGCAAGGAACAGAAAGTTGCAGGATATTGGCCCTCAAGGTTTTGAGTTTGACACCCCTAGTCTAGGGTGTATACCTTACTTCATCCTGTTTTATTTTTCTATAAATGGTATGTTTTAAGCTACTTACATGTTAACAAACATGTATACCTCCAATTGGGTCTGTGTAAATGCTTGGTAATATTCTAGTGACTCTTCAGTGTCAACTTAATGGCAAAAGTTAGCAATAATGAACGGATAGATGATGAAAAGTTTGCTTAGCCTTGTTAAAATGTTAGGATTTTCTGACATAAAAAGAGATCTTGGTAAATCATTTCATTTTGTATTATTTGACTATCATCATCCATTAGCAGGAACAATTTGGACTATAATTATGCAGCAGATTGCATAAGTGTAAATGTCTTTAAAAAAGGAACAGTCTTCTTTTTTGTTACTTTTTCACCTTCCATATGTCATCCTAATCTTGGTCATGTTCATCCAATCTAAATAAGGTTCCCCACATCTACCTGAAAGTAAGGATATAAGTATGTACTCCACTGCCCTCTTCAGGTGAGACCACTCATTTTCTGTGAGATTCAGCTCTGAACTCCTACACATTTGTTTACATATAGATGTATGTACAGTAAAGGAGAGAGGGGAAATTATTCTGTATTAAGATCAGCTTTTGACCAAAAAAATAATAAATAAAAGGATAAAGGAGATTGGAAAGAAGCATTGAGTATAAACCAACATCTCTTACATCTCTACAGGTAGAGATGGATGGAATGAGTTTTTACACCATGGTGCAATTTACTTATACTTAATAATACAGTGATGACTGCTTCCTTAAACCCTAGAATCCTCATTAAAGAAAATAAATATTTGAAATGTCAGGACATTTGAAATGAACTGGTAGTCAGCCTGACACCTAAAATTGGGTAATGAACAGCACAATAGCTTTAAACAGAATGATGGTCCAGAACATATGCACAGATATTAATATAAATGGATGATCAGAGGCAACATCTAAACTTTGTAGAAAATCTGTGTGGTGAGCTGAAGAGAAAAGAACATTAGAGTGAACCCAGAACTTAGGATGATAGAGAGAGATGTTTCAAAGTTGAGAGGAATAGGATACCTCCCAACAAAAAAAAACTCCTGAAGAGGAGTATTTTGATCCACTGTTTTTTAAATATATATATTTTTTTCCTTTCTAAATTTTTGGTGCATGATTAAGTTACTGTAATGAGAAAGTCTGAAACACCCAATTGGATTAATTTGTTACAGAAAAATAGTAAATAATTTCTTAATCAAAAATAATTTACTACACTATAAAAACTCTAAAACAGTGGGGACTGGACATTGGTAGAACTTGGAGATCTCCCAGCAAACTTCCTGGATGCTGGTCTGATCCACTCAGTGGTCTAGATTGAGCTGAATCAATTACTTTTAACGGCTGGATTTGGGGATTTTTGACAATCAATACCATTCATGGAGTTCACTCGTCTCTCTCCATTCTACCTGCAGTCATTAAGAAAAAAAAATTTATTTGGGGGTAGACACATCAGACATATCAGTGTACCTTGTAGAAGAGCCCAATGATTCTCTCACTGGTGTTGAAGTGGGGAGCATTGTTCCAGATGACTCGGATGAAAAACACAATGTCATACAGCTTTGACATAATTTCTCTTGGCTTGAGACTTAAAAGTTCTTCATGGGACTCCTTAAGTAAGCCCAGGAGGCTCAGGGTTTCCTTCACTTTCAGGGAACATTCCTAGGAAACACAGACACCATGGAATGATGATGATCTAGATGATTATCATCACTTTTCAGGATTTTAACTCGAAATCTTTCTCAACACACCTTTATCACTAAAGTGTTATAATTCTGATCCTCTAATAAGGACTTTGTCTTTTAGGTAAAACCTTTTGTAATGGGACCTTATTTATTCTGTCAGCAGAGGTGCTCAAGTGTTAAGACCCTGTTAGAATCCCAGGCTCTGCAATATAAGAGCAGTGTTGACCTAGTGGGTTAGGGCAGTGCGCTTGTGCTCTGAGAAGGTTGCAAGTATCCGGTTCAATTCTACTCCCTTCACGCTGGGTTCCTGAACAAAGACCCTTGAGTCCAAACTGCTCCGGGCGCCACACAATGCCAGCCCAATGCAGAGAGTGAATTTCCCCATTTCAGGAGAATAAAGAGATTTAAATTTTTCCAAGTTGGTTACTGAACATTTCCATTATTTATAGCAAGACCACTCTGGACTCTTGTTCCTCCTATCCAAGGTTACCTTCTGGAAAGGTCCCACCTCTCTAGACAAAGCACAAGCCTGCTGGCACCAGCTCTTTATAAAATAAATATTGGATCTCTATCTTGACAACAAGCATCAAATCTGATCACCTTAGCCTGGAAAGAACCTGCCAGAACCGTCTCACTCAGAGCTCATCAGTACCAGTAAGCCCTAAAAGATCTTTCACAGCTTCCTTCCTCCTCATTTCAGTTTTTATCAGTCTGCTTAGTTTCTTTGCATTAGGATCAGATGACTATCAGAAACTGACAGTTTAAGCAGGTCTGTCACAGAGAGGTAACCAAAATGTCAGCAAACTAGAGTGAAAGGCTTATGAAAGGAAACAAAACATTTGACCTCAGTCACTCAGTTTCAATACTAAGGACGGGCATATAAACTTGACTTTTAGGAATCTCTCATTATCATAGCACTTCAGAAATAAAAATAATTGTAGTAATTCTTAACTGAGCCAATGGAAAACATATATATATCTTACTGACATTGAAAAAAAAATATTTCATCTATTTATACAGTGTATTTTACAGATTCACCTTGGGATATAAGTAAAGTAAGAACAACCATTTATCACTGATGTGTACACTTTACCAATTAACTGCTTGTTTTACCTGTACTTTTGTGGTCTCATCAAGGAACCACTGAAGGCGTGAGGACTTGGCAAGCTGTAAGATCTCCTGGATGTGCTTGACTTCTGGCTTTTCCCGCCACTTGATGATCTCTGACAGCTTCATGGAGTAACTCTCCCAGAAGGCTATTTCTTCCAGCAGGCTTTGGTCGTGTCTTGTGTGTCTGGCTTCTTGGTGATCCAGCATCTCATGGATTTGAGCACTCCAGAACATCATCATAGCTACAGGTAAGGCAGATTAAAATTAAACAGATGCAAAGAGAAACAAATAAAAAAAAACTGGCAGAGGGACAGAGGGTTTCAATATGCACTAAAAAGGTTAAGAAAAAGTAGTGTGATTGAGAAGGAAGAAGTATCCTTTAGGGTCTGTACGTGTAACATTAACAGATACAAGGAGAGAAGAAAGTTAGAATTTAACATTATAGCATTAAATTATGTTGAACTTTTCATTTTAATTGAAAAAAAATAAATAAAATAAAATAAGGTCAAACTCTGCATCAAACTGATAACACCAAACCAAAAAAAGGTTTTTCTACTGCATTTTTGCACCATATATATATTTGTCTTTGCACTGCTGTGAACTTGCATATCAGTGTGTTTTGCATCATGTTTTTCTTCTCCCACGCTGTATACATTGGATTACTGCTGCACTTGATGAAATGGGAATGTTCATTTCACTGCTAAGCTGCTGATCATTCACTGTCTAAAAGCTGTACAAAAAAGTTTATGTATACAATCTGTGTATACAAAAAGACAATAAAAATTGTCTATGTTTAAGTAAGTCTAGGTCTAATTATTACAGCAGGTCAGAGTGAAAAGCTATTTCAGTAAAGATACTGATGTGGAAAAAAAAATTCCCTAACACTGCCTCATAAAAAGCCTTCTAAACTTACTCTCCAGTCTATCCACCAGCTTCCCATCCTTGCTGGCCTCCTCAGCTGACAAGTGTTGGGCTTCCACTGGGATGTACAGAAAGGTTTCTCCTGTTCTCCGATAGAGGATATCTGCTCAACAAAAAAAAAAAATGGAAACTCTCCACAGGTGCTAAAAGCTATAATGAAATACACTTGTAGAGAACTTTTTTCCTCACCACCAAGCCAACGAAAATGAAAGTACAGCTCCTTGGTAAATTGATCCTTGATTTCTTCTGTACAAGGGGTGGCAGCAACTGCAGGAGCGTATATGCAGGTCAGGTCTGCAAGCATCGTATGGAGGGGGTCCCCCCTCACACTATCAAACTGTATGACGTCAGCAAAGTTTTCCTCAGTGATTATAGCTCCTACAGGACGAGTGAAGTAGAACAGCCCCTCAACCACGTCCCCCTGTGCAAATAACATTCAGATCAAAGTTGGATACAAAAGGAAAATGAGAAAAACAGTGGATCAATATAGTCAGGGAGCATACTGAATTATATGTGGTATCAAAATGCACTGAATTGAAAGAAATCAGGAAGGACCATTGATAGGCAGGTTGCAGCCCATCAATCAAAGATGGAGACCGTTTATAAATGAAAAACATTTAACACTCAGTGGTTAAAACCTGGATGCTTTTTGTAAGATTTTCCTTAGGACAGATGACACTACATAGACGTAAGGGTTCCATCTATTTGACAAAAGCCATCTGATTTTCCTCAGATTGCATGTTTCTGCACAAACACCTCAAACAAGCTGCCAAGCACAGTAGAGGAGGTGCCATGATTTGTAATTAAATCTGCCATTAAATAATAAAAAGTAATGACATTAACTTAACTTAGGTATGACATGAAATAACAATTATTATTATTTTCTTACACCAGACCACAGAAAGCTCTTTCATAAGTTTATTAGATATATTTTAGACCAAACTAGATATAGAGGATTATAGAGGGTGGAGTTGCTGGCCCATTATGCTGTAAATAAATTGTCATTTTTAGGGATAATATTTGCTGTAGAGTAAATCAAATCCAGAAAAAAAAAATTATTGTCTATATTGCTCAACGAGAAGCACCATTCAGAAATGAGGATCATGAAATAATTATACCCACTTCCTAAAATAAGATAAATATATCTAATTGAAGCTAATGTATTCAATTATTACTGACAAATTCAAATAATCATTAAATAAAATATGCACTTTTTGTATTGTGTACATCCTCCACTACTGGTTGGCTGAAAGAAGACCATCAATTTGTTGAAATTGGCTAGTGAAAATCTGCCCATCAACCTGATTAAATGCTTTAGTGAGATGTTTGTAGAAACCAATATCTGCAAACCTTAATGAATGAGGCAATGATTTAAACCAGAATAGGCCAACTGTATTGACAGGATGCAGTAGGGGTACATTTTAATTAGCCAATCAGCTGCTTTTAAAAATACACTGTCAAATTATAAATATTTACACGATGACAGAATAACGTACTGGGTAAGGGGTACTGAAGTCCACCTGAAGCCCATTTCTTCTGTGCACATAGACCACCGCAACTGGAATGGAAGTGTCTGCGACAAACTGATCCAGGGGCTTCACATTTTCCTCTGTCCATGACTCCTCCGTTACTCCAGGAACGCACACACAGTTGATAAGCAACTAAACACAGGACAGGAGGAAGAAAACAGAATATTTAGTAGTTTAGACCAAATGTGCATTCGGATATCTGCTTGTGCTATACCTGACGGATGCTCTTAATGTTATCCTCATCCATGGCACTTATCAAGCATTATCCTGTGAAAGACAGGCTCAGTGTTAGCTTGAACATAAAACATGATAGGATCAGATCTTTTACTGGATGCTTTTAATTGTTTTTTTGTTTTTTAAGTTGAGCTTTGTTTTGATTTTATCTAGTGGTTTCCTGAGTCTTAAAATGTCTTGAAAGGAGTGCAGGGCTGAACTGACCATTGGGAATACAGGGTGAACGTCCATTTTTGGACAGGCTGTCATGAAAAATGTATTTTAAATTAATTATTTAATATATTAAACTTTATAAAATAATTTATCACTTCACCAAATATTGTTTTTAACTTCCCATATACCGTAGTTATAGTTTTGTAATAATATTACATAAATATTAATAAACCCTGCTATTTCAAAATGGATCATTTATCATTGGTAGAGGTGTTTAGTAAAAGGTTACATTTACTTGAGTAACCTTTTGAAAACAGTTAGTTTTTCAGGAGTAGTTTTACTGCAGCTATACTTACAGACACATGTGTGTCCATCCATCTTCTGCCGCTTCTCCCTTTTATTCCTTCAGGGTCGTGGTGGGGCTGGTGCCTACTGTATGTACAGTGTCTATGGGTGAAAGGCAGGGCAACATAAAGACACACAACCATACCAAACACACACCCAAGGGCAATTTAGAGAAGACAATTAACCTAATAGTCATTTCTTTGGAAGGTGGGAGGGGGGGAGAACATACAAACTCCAAGCAGAAAAACCCCAGGAATTGAACCCAGAGGCTTGTTGCTGCAAGGCAACGGAGTAATATTTTTTTCATAATGCAACATCTGGTTGAGCAAGAGTAACTCTACTCAATTAAGAAAAACTGACGTTTTTAAACTAAAATATTCAGCTAGCACAGAGCCAGCCAAATATTTAGCTACCTTGGTGCTAAATATTTAGTTTGTTAAATAAATATTCTATTTAGAGCTAAATATTTATTTAACAAACTAAATATTTAGTTTGGAGCATTTTTTCATTTTTAAACTAAATATTTGGCTCCAATCTAAATATTTATTTAACAAAGTAAGATTTTTATAAATTAATGAATTAATGAAAAAATGACTTGAAAAAAGTAAGCCCCTTATTTTTCTCTTAAAACACCTTAAATAACCATAAATAATGTTCTTAATGTTTGACTGCTTAACTTCAATCACGTAAATATGCAGTAACACATATAAAGGACCTTCAGTAAACACTGGTTTCATGTTTGGTTTTTTTAAACTAAATGTTTAGAAGACATTAATTGTTTTTATATAACATAATTTCCCCAAAAGTTTATTTTTGTTTGATTTTATATTTATTTAATATAATGTTAGACGATACGATCAGTTACTTCATTCTTTAGTAGACATTTTTTTACCAGTAGTCTGGGCCCTGAAGGAGCGCATATTGACTGTTTTTTTTTTGTTTGTTTTTTTCTGTTGGAAGGTATAAATTAAAGCCTTATATTTTCATTTTTATCGTTGGGTGTAAGTTAGGGGCAGTTAACCGCGAAAAAAGCTATAATAATTTGATATTTCAGCTCAACAAGTGCACGAATAACGGTTTACCTAAATCACGGTTAACGAACTATTTTAATAACGGCTATTTTCAGCGTCGAGCACAGCAATGAATAAACGTTAATTGAAGTTATGGACTAGATTTCGGCCATTCTCATAAATATTAAAACATACTTTACAGTAGCTTATTTAAATTTTTATTGTATAATTGTATCTATAGATTAATACATTTTTTTTCTTACCTTTTATGTTTTTTGCTACATTCAAACCACAGCCGCTCTGTGTCGGGATGTCGCTATGGAAACGAGTAACTGCCAAGCCCTCCTAATATTCCCTACCTCCAATCCTGATTGGACACGTAAAATAAAAGAAGGTCCATGATTGGACGAGAGAGTGGGTTCATGGATTGTGTGATTGGATGAATGTAACATGACGAGAGCGACCAAATACAGCAGATTTGATTGCGCAATAACAAACACCTGTCTCGATGCCATCATAGATGACTGTCAGTCAGGCTTTATGCAAGAGAGGCACTTCAGTAACAATATTAGGTTGATTCTGAACTTGTTTGATTATAAGGACATCATAACTGAAAACGGATATATTTTATTTGTTGATATCTATAAAGCCTTTGATACTGTAAATCACTGGTTTTTATTTGATGTTTTGGATTTTTTAGGATTTGTTCAAAATTTCAAAAGAGCAATTAAAACGCTATATAATGATTGTAATAGTTCGATTAAACTTATGTGGGGAACGACTCAGAGATTTCCCATTTCTCAGGGTATTAAACAAGGAGATCCTGCTGCGCCATTTTTGTTTTCATTAGTGATGCAAATGTTGGTACTGCAAATACAAAATGACACATTTGAAGGAATTACCATCTCAGGTCAGGAAATTAAATGCTGTCAACTAGCAGATGACACAGCTATCTTCTTGAATAGAAGAATAAATTGCATCAATGCTTTCTCTGAAGTGTCAGGTCTTACCTTAAACATAAAAAAATTTGTCTTGTTTCCTCTCAAAGAGGGCAGTATCCATAAAGAAATCGAAGGTATCCCTGGCAAGAAGGAAGTAACTTACCTGGGAATTAATATTTGTCGAGATCAGTCTGAGAGGGTTATTTCTAACTTTCATAATCTGATTCCAAAAATTAAAAATAGATTTGATGTATGGCTGATGAGAGATCTATCACTTAAAGGTAGAATCCTCCTGTCAAAAACAGAAGGGTTATCTCGCTTGGTTTATCCTTCAAAAGTAATAGATGTTCCTAAATCGTTGATAAAGAAAGTTGAGCCTGCCCTTTATAACTTTGTCTGGAAAAACAAATCTCATTATTTAAATAGATCTGTACTAAGTAATCCCTATAATAAAGGGGGATTAAATGTGTTAGACTTAAATACATCAAATGTGATATTCAAAGTGAACTGGATCAAATATTTTATTAGAGACCAAAATAAACTATGGTATTTAATACCAAACCTTATTTTTAAACGCGTTGGAGGAATAGAATTCCTTCTCAAATGTGATTTTGAGGTCAACAAAATCCCCATCCAGTTGTCTAATTTTCACAGACAGGCATTGTCTTGTTGGCTTCTTTTCTACAAACATAATTTTTCCCCACATAAATCTCTAATTTGGAATAACAAAGATATCAAATACAAAAATAAATCGATTTTTTATGAGACATGGATCCAAAATGATTTTTTTTTTTACATTTCTTAAATCTGTGTTTCTTTTAAATAAGATGTGCAATAAGATATAGCTAAATAATATCATGTATTCATCTTGTACACTGTATTTATTGGTTGCGCACCCTAAATATATTTTTCTTGTAGGAAGTTTTTAATACTTTTAGTTAGCATGACAAGACTGCACACCTTTCTGTTACCCTCTAATCAACTGCTTGTGACTTTTTTAAGATCTGTGCATAATACATCTAGAGGATGATTAATGAGAATGTTTATTAAGAAGATGTATTCCACACACATGCTTTTACTTCAATGTGTACTTTGTTTAATGTTAGGAAAAGATTGATTATCTTTTAGACATACAGTATCTTCTTATAGTGGAATACTTTTTCATGAACGTTCATACACACTGACGAAACTCATCAAAGTCAGCAACAACAGACGCAAGAAGTATGAGATCTTTTCAATTTCTTAGCATCAAAATGTGGGAACGTAGGTATCACTTCTTTAGAGTTTAACTTCTTTCCTATAGGTCCTGTAGTGGGAAAAAGTATTCAACTATTCACCCTAGTTAAATAAATGAAGATCGATGGATTTCACTCAGTTGACACATTTATGTCTTTGCAAAGAGAGAACAGTTTATCATACAGCCCTTATGGCACAGCATCCAGCCCTGTTCTACCTGAGCAGTGTTCGTTTCCTCTTATGTACAACTATAGAAAAGTAGTCAGAGTGAAAACAAATTACAGACACTTTGGTTAAAAGTAACATTTTATGAATAAACCTTGAGAAAGAATCTGGTTTGTTATGTTGAAGAAGCTATGTCTGGTCTACAAACACCCTCACCAGAGAATGGTGTGGCCTTGAAGGTGAAACAGAGAGAGTGAAAACTTTTATAGTGAGTAAATAGGATAAATGAATATATAATAGAAAAGAAATCAAAATTTTCCAACAACAGACCACCCTTTCGATTATAAAAGGATATTATCCTTGTGTAATCGATATTAAAAAAGGAAAATTAATGAATATAAAAAAAAGTAAAAAACTAAAATTGTAAATAATAAAAATAATTATAATAAAAAATATATATATATATCAAGAATGCACACCTGCAATCAAGCCAGTGGACAATGTTAAAGGATTAGAATAGATGGAAAAATCATGGAAAAGATTATGATGGCTAAAATATGTTGCCAATTAATAGAGCCCTGGAATCACATCCTAGTTGCCAAAAACATTTAACTTTTTTCCCCCAATGATGATAGTTTTATAGCCCTGATTGGATAACATGCCAAAATACATCACCTTCAGTGAGGCTCTTAGGGGGTCTATGGTGCAGGGGCAGGTAGTGAATCCAGCTCCTCGATGCTGATTGGCAAAAATACTTATGGATTTTTTGACAGGCAGTGGGAGACAATGAGGAGGCTTTCCTCATGAATCGAGAGGGGACAAAATGACGACAAGAACAGTCATCTTGTGCTGAGCACATGATGTGGTTTCTCGAGTTGATCATTTCGGAGCACTTCACAACAGCTATTTTCATCTGTTGTAGTATTGTGTTTAATGCTTTTCAACATTTGTTAATGCAACAAGTGAAAATTGGATTTTATCAACACCATTGAGCCTCCCCTGTTTCAGAGAGCAGCAGCTGCAACTGCTATTTGTATAAGTGATTTAATAATCCTTGCACTGTTCAGCAGGTGAGGGACCCAGATATTAAGTTGCTGAAGGGATGCAATTCCTCTAAAAGGAAAAAAGAAAACATTAAAGTAGCACATAACTCACAAAACTAAATGCATTAAAGCTAAAACAAATGTCTCTCTTGATGATGATCTGAAATACTTGGCCATAATAGAATAGCCTATATTATACTGTATATCTAACAAACTCAAGGATGAGGCCACTGATATATTGAGGGAGATCTGAAGTAGCTCTAAGCAGAAAGGGATAAAAACGAAGGTCTATTTGGATTTATAACATTGTGAGGGAGATTTGGCTGCAGGCCATGTCTGGAGCGCTGCGGGGTGGAGCGGAGACGGAGGATGTGGGATTTCAGGATAACAGGCGAAGCGGCGCAAGTGAAGTTAGACACTGTCATCAGACAACATGTGCTAATTAATAAATGTTTTAAATCAGATTGGGTCCGGATTGCCAGCAGGTGAATCTAGATCAGGACCACGTTCCACTAATCTGTGACCTCTGCATTAAACCGAAGCCAAGAATAACGAGTAACGTTTGTTTTAAAAATGTAAGGAATAGAAAGTACAGATACTTGTGTGTAAATGTAATGAGTAGAAGTCAGAAGTAGGAGGAAAAATAAGTAATGGAGTAAAGTATAGATACCTAAAAAGTGTACTTAAGTACAGTAACGAAGTACATGTACTTTGTTACTGTACTTACCTCTGGTGTCAAGTGAACTTGTAACAATTTTTTTGTTATGCACACAAACTGACATGTATTTATTCATAAAATGTATCATACCCGATGTTGATTTTAAATTATGAATCATATTTGTATTACATTACAATTTTTTATAAAATGTACCTAAAGGAAAGGAAAAAAAGCCACTTTAGATTCATAGATATCTACAAAGTTCCCTCACACAGGTGGGCCATATCTTACCTGTATGAGGTATCTGATCCTCTGTTATTGATGTAATAACAAATAACATAAGTGAACAACATGAATTGTGGTTTCCTGTGGGTGGTAAAATGAATACAACAGTAATATCAGAGAGAATTTAAACACTTTTTAACGACATTGCAGAACATTCAGGACATCTGTGAAGCAATGACTTGGTCTTCGCCACTCGCTTTTGCCCTGTTTTATAAGTTAGATGTCTTGGTTCCTAAAGGAGCCTTTGCAGTTTTAATCTCGGGGGTCCTAGCTGGAACAGAGTGATCACAGTTAGATGCTGGGGATTGCTGAAGATAAGCTGTCTGGCAATATGGGAGTTACCATATCCCATAGTGAGATGTCGAACGAATGCTATAAATGAGAACTTTAGGTTACTTGCATAATCCCGGTTCTCAGAGTAGCATAAGTTAGATGTCTCACCAGACAACCCTTATCCCTGGGACGAAGCAAGAAGAGGTGCTGATTTCAAATGATGCTGCATAGTGGTGCAATCTATTTAAAGGAAAGGTGATGTGGGCTTCACTATCACCAGCCGATAAGGATTGCGTATTGAGATAAAGGTATATGCATGAGGGGCATATCCAAACAAAATGAATGAGAACTGGGGCAAGTGACCTAAAGGTATTGCCAAATTGGAAAAACACAAGTTTTTCCTTTTGTTAAATTTGGTCTGTATATAGGTCAATTTGTATAGCACACTGTTATCTTTATATCCTGCTTCTAGTCTGTTTATATTGGTTGTCTATACTACCTTAATCTTTCATGCAGGGTCTGTGTCAGTCATTGTCACAGATATGAGAGCGATAAATTACATTTCTATTTCTTTGGAAGTACTGCACATATAAAGTCTTGAATCTTTAACTAAACCTATAAGCTTAGCTCAGGAGAACAGAAAATAAAATAGAACACAAAGTGTGCAATCATTAAGAATAAAAGCAACCTGCCATATTTAGAAAATAAATGACTTAGGAACTATTATAATAACAATAAAATAAACAGACTTCTTAAAAAGAATACAGTTTTTATTCAAAGCCACAAGGCATCAGATCATTTCAAAATGTTAATAGTTTAGAAGAAGAAAAAAAACTCAGATAGCAGGCTCTTAAGGCACGGAGAGAAGAAGAAATGTATTGAAAAGTTGAAACAAACGGTTACAATTGCAAGGCAAAAAATTTACAAGCATATAGCCAAAGATGCATTATCTCAATGTGTTGCAGCAACCTGATCATAAAATGCAAAAAGGTAACTTTCTTTGTTTACATAACTCACATATGGTTTTAGACTCTCAAAACACTTATTCAAGTATCCTCTTTTATATATGTATGTCGTCTGCAGCACTTATTCATAGCCCTAAAATGCATTTTTCCCACAGCATCTGAGACAAAATTTAGAATTACAAATATGGTGCAAATCTGCTAAAATTAATACAATTTTGCATACGTGCATTCCATGTATTTCTTTACAGACGTAAAGAATCAATAACACTGCATAACAAAACAAACGGAAAATAAATAACAAGAAAAGGATTGCTACTTATGAGGCTTATGTTTGGGATTGTATCTGTTCCTTTGGTTCATTTTCACATAAGAAAAACAGAATTTGTCATATTGTTTTTGCATCAACACCAAATAAATCTCAAAGAATTTGCACACATTTCTACAAAACTTCCATTAAGGAAAGATAATGTCATGAAAACACTTGCAAATTGTGGTTTTCATACAGAAATAGGAGAAATATCTACATAAAAGTCTGCAAACAAACTCCGGGTGGTTTGCATGTTTTACTATTTATAGTATGTGTCTTTACTCATCAGTCTGAAAAGGGAATAAAACTTCTCCTTTAGAATAGCTGAAAAAACATATAACAAAGAACCACATCACAGTTTTAGAAGACAAGAGTGGTTTCACTGTGTGATGAGGGATTCTTGACTTCTTCGTATTCCTAGAGATGACAAACCATCTTCTGTCAGTTCATACCTGCAGCACAAAACAAAGAGCAAAATGATCAGATTTAGTTCCTTTAAATCACAGGATGCAATTCAAAAATTAACAGTAGAATGAAAGAGAAAACATAAGGCTTGTTTACCACTGAGTGCACCCTTTTGAGATATCCTCTCCACTTAAATCTACCAGCACCTGCCAAGAAAAAACTTCATTTAAAAAAATTGTTATTTCATTTCATCTTTTCTTCAATACATCAAAGAAAGTGTTGAAGTGTGGAAATAGAATTAAAGAATAAAAAAGGAATGAATAAGAATGGGAATTGAAGAAAAACTTTGTGTGTTTTAAGGCAACAGGATATTTCTACATTTTTTTAGTTCTTTTTCTGAAAGGACAACTTTTATAAAGATGTGTGCCTGGATATCACTGCTTCTTGAGTTTTTTTTTTTTTAATGAGGTGTCCTGTAAAATGTAGATTTAGATATGTTCATAGCTTTCTGATACATAAGGATAAAATTATTCTCCAATTTTCATTTTTTCCGTCTTGCTTTGTGTTTCAATCGATCAAGTTTTTTCTTGTGGTATAGTTGCAGTTTTGTTTTTATGAATGTCTTTAATTGGGTTGGGCAAGAAGGAAAGAAATCCAAAGTATTCCTTAATCCTTAATAGTCTTTTTTAAACTTAAATGATAAAATACAACAGCAAAACAGCATCTAATATAATAATATAATAAATAAATAAGGCTTATTAAATGTTTTTTTTAAATCTTGCATGACCCGTTTATTTTTTTAGATTTTTTCCTTAATATCAAATATATTTGGCATTTTTGACTCGTATTCTAGAAAATGATCGTTGTTATTTGTTATTTTATAAGTTTCTATACTTTCAGTATTGTTTTTGTGTTTCGTGTACTCTTTAAAGTGTCTCGATAACAGATTAGGATAAAATGAAATGGTTCAATAAATTACCCTGATAAATTTTAGTTATTTAAAATGTTATCACAGGTACAATTTGAAATTAATTTCAAGTAAAAAAAAAAAGAAATAATGAAATGCAACAACAAATATACTAAATATAAATTAGAATATATAAAAATGATATATATATATATATATATCTACATATATATATATATAAATGTTTTACCTTTTTCTTTAAACATTTGGTGTGTTTCTCTAATTCAAAATATGAAATGTTTAGAAAACCTTCACAGTGACAAACTATATAGAGACGTTTTACCTTTCCCAAAAGGCCTTTGTGTTTGGACAGGATGCTCCTTCCATTTTTCACCGCTACATCCAGAGTTCTCCTATTCAGCTCCACATGGGAAATACTGAACTCAAACCTACAGACACAAATTCCCAGAGAGTGGAAATTGGCAGACTCAAATCAAAATCTATCTTTCGTTAAGCAGCATACACAGCCCACCTGCAAAAGCAACTAACTCTAAACCACTATCACACTAATCATGACATCCATTGTTTGAGGAAGGACCTAAAATAAAGGTTTTTAATTATTTGCTGGTTTGATTAAGATTGCTCCAATCTATTAGGGGAGCCTTTTGATTGACACAGAGTTTGAAAAACGTTAGTTGCACCCTGCAGAAAATAACCTACAACATAAAGAACTTTTCCAAACAACTGCACCTTATCTGAAGCTCAGGTCTCCTAAACAAATTTACATGTGAAGAGACTCAAGATGCTGAATGCAGCCTGCAAAAAAGCCTGCTACTGTAAATGTTAATGAGGACCCCTAAAAAATGAGGAGCGCACAAGTGTAGCTTTCATGGAAGCTGTGCAAAGACTAAAAGCTTTGCTCTAAAGACAAACACAAACATCAGATGGCAGCTTAACTGAATTATGCTACAATGTTCTGAATGTTTTGGACACAGAACAGAGAATATGTCTGGCTTAACATCAAATGCAGAATTTCAGGAAGCTTATGCCAAGTGTGAAGCATGGAATGGGACCTGGCCGGTTTACCACCATACCAATCTATCATACAGTAGATTCCACCATGTGTTAGAAGGTGTTTGCAGAAAATGTGAAACTATCCAAAGAAAACTCAGCTGAAACCAAACTGGACCCACAGACACCTCAAGGACCCAAAGTAAGTTTAGTAAATATATCAAAACCAGGAAATGAAAACCTAAAAAACAGACTTTTTCTCACTTTTCTCAACTTCTCTAGAAAGTTGTTCAGATCAAACACAACCGTGAAAATACTTTTGTGTGCTTACAAAAACAGTATAAAATCTATTTAAATCTGTTTCACGTAGAAAAAAACACTGAGTTTCAAATCAGCTAAATGTGTAAGATTTCAAGCAATAAATGGCCATACATGGCAATAGATTGTCATATTCCCACTTAAAAGAAACAAAACTTGATATGAGGGTGTTTAACCTACGTTTGATCATAAACAGGATTAAGAGTCTTCTTCATCGTGCTTGTCTTCCTCCTTCCCGACCGGCTCTTGTCAGGCAGCAAATACAGGCGTATGAAGGGGTCTGAGCCATCTTTGGTGAAGGCTATCAGATTTCTGAGGGAATGTGGCACAGAACTGTCAGACTCATCCTGCTGGGCTATTGCTACTTTGTTCAATCTGTTTATTCAATCTATAAAATATGTCAATCAATGACATAAATAATGTTTGGATGCTTCAAAATGATTTATGCTCATCGTAAATCTATTGCTGTGGTTTAAACCTGACCTGCAAGCGTGCACCACCACAACCAGTTTGTTCCTCTGGGAGCTGTGTCGAACAGTGAGCTGGATCTCACCCAGGGGGTATTGGCCAGGAGCCGAGCCGCTATAAACGCACCATAGTCAGAATCACTTTCACACAGATTGTATACGCACATAGATAGATTGGTTACTGAAAATTTTTATGCAAATTCCTCGCATCTTACTTCTGCAGCTGATGGAGTCTTTGTTGAAGCTCCAGGGTGGCGATAGGCAGTGAGATATCCGACGCCAGGCTGGGGGTGCTCTCCTTGTGAGGCAGGTATTTCTGAGAGCTAGAAATAGTGGTGCTCAAGTTAGGTGTGCTGCGGCGAGGGCTGGCAGAGTATGGCTCGCCGTCAGGGTCCTGGAGAGTGAGAGTGGAGGCGCGTACGGGCTTTGGAGGTGTGGCAGAAAGCAGCTGTGACTCTGAGTAGGACAGACTCAGGGAGGGGGCCAGGGCTGTCTGGGGAACACTGGATTTTCTGACCTGCACCGCAGAGGGCAGGTCTGAAGATATCTGTTTTTCCAGTGAAAGGATCTAAGGAGACAGGAAATCAATAGTGGGCTTAAAGAACCATAACAGATTTAGTGTTGAGCTATCTCAATGGAGCAAGTGAAAGTCTAGGAAAGCCATAAATGGAGATAAAATACTGCCAGTCTAGAATGACGCAGTTTTAAACTGCCGTCTGTCTCTACAAAAACACTATTATTCAGAAGTTATTCCAACTTGTGTTTCAGCTGAAACACCTTATTATGAAACCCATTTATATGTTAATGTGGATGTATTATTCTTTTTAATCTGATCAGTGGTGACTCAGAACAAGATAATTCTCTTAGCTTTCAGCCACATAAAGAACAATAACATGATTCCGGACAATAACTGTCTGAAATATCCACATTTTTAAATATTTAAAGAGGTAACATATATGATCCCTAACAGATTTCTTCCCCTTTACTTTCTTTAGATTTTAAATCATACTAGGATGTTTATGGCTATGAGCAAGTCTTACAGTTTTTTTCTCTGTCGGCTTGGCTCATGTCTTGACACAGAAATTCAAATAACATGAACAAACCTGTTGGAAACTGTTCTCTTTCACTTTGTGACATTTCCAATGTCTTTGTACATGCTTCAATGTACAAGGTACATGTAGGCAAATTATTTAGTTCATGTAGGCAGAATACCCTACCAGAATAAAGTAATAAAAACATTAAATGATGAGAAAATCACCACATTTAGTCAATTTGTGACCTTCAGAAAAGTTTAATCCTTATAGCTAATGCTAACTGTCTTGCTAATTACTAGTGTTGCACTGATACTGATACCAGTATAGGTCGGGGCCCCAAGCCAGCACTAAAATGGTGGTATCGGTATCGACGAGTACAGTACCAACAAATAGGGCACCAATACCATTTTGAGAGCCAAAAGTTTATTCAACTATTGTCACCAATTCCAGGTAGGCAATAAAAAGTTCTACTGGATTCACTTTGTATTAGTCTTTTTCCTGCTTCACAAAGGTAGGCAGCAGCTTGACAAAACCATGATGGCAATGATTTTACATCCAACTAGTATGCAGTTCTTCAAATATACACAGACACATCAATTTCAAACCGATGTTATCGGTATGGTCTCAGTATCGGCCGATGTTGCACCTAGCTTCCACTAATATTTCTGGTTTGTGAGGATTCTTTTCAGCCATTGATGCTCCAGTTTACACAAAAGAGTGAACAAATAGCTAAAAAAAAAAATGCTGCAGCAGCAAACAACAGTAGGGCTACTTCATTGGGCTTCGATGAAATGGCGGACGGCCAGCCAAACAGCGCATGTGTTAAGCTTGAAGCCTATGTAAAAAACGTCATGGCAGCAAGTACACCACTTTCTGCAGTAGGCAAAGTGGATTGGCTAATATTTTGTAGGCCCCAGCACGGCCAGAGTTTATGGATTTTTGGGGCGGGGGGCCATAAATGCAAGAATGCCATCCATCAATAAAGTCATTTTAGATTAATCTAGACACTTCATTTCTGAGAAAAATCCTCTTTATTACCTATAAGTAGAAATGTTGGCGATCTATACAAGAGTAATTATTTTTCTGAGAACTTTTTAACTCTACTCCTTACAGTTTTTTGCAATTATCTCCACTTTCTACTCCTTACCTAAAAAAAAAAAAAAGAGTTAGTTTTTTCTCATTTAAGCTCATTTCCAGTACTAAGAAAAAAAAGGAAATCTCAAAATAATTTGTTTCATCGAGACAATTAATTGTTTGTGATTGGAATTGGTACTGCACCGACTTGTTATTTGCCACCTACCAAACTAAATACATTTTTAAGATGATGCAGTTGGATTTTGCACCATTCACACGACTTGTGTATTGGGCATGTCATGGGCAATTCATCTGATGACATCACTATACAACATGCCCACGAAAGACACGCCTTTGTCTGCAGGCTGCAGACAGAAAAACTTACAGGATGGTAGACAGGGGGTCAATTTTAGAGACCAGGAGGATGACGCTGCTGTTCACGAGGATGATGTTAAGGGACCAGTTTTTGATGTCAACAGTAGCCTATGCTTTCTGTGGCTTTGAAGTTGAAGAACATTATGCCCCGCAAACTCTCATTTGCGGGGCATAATGTTTTTGGTTTTTTTTTCAAGAAACTTCTTTTTTAATTTTGAACAAGCTGGGTTTTTTTTAAGGGCTTTTTTTCCTCAAAAGACTTGTTTTGGACAAACTTAGCTCCATATTAGTTTCTAAAACCATTTTTCTTTTTTTTTTAACCATCTTAAGGTGGATTTGCGTAACTATTTTACAGGTTATATTAAAGGTATAGTGGATGATGTTCTTTTTCCGGGTGGATCATCAAAATAAATGGTGCTCCTAATTGTCAATCATTTTGGTGATATGCATACATAAGGCTGTCCTACGTGTTCGTCCCCATTTTCACTTACCGGTGGTGAGTTCAACATAGTGGAAAAATTGCAAATCTTCTTTTGGAAAGCATGATTGTATGAGTGATCCAAACAGCAACTATTAAACAGAGCGTGTACGAGGAGAAATTGGCTTGTGCATGCGCTTGCACACGTTTAATGGGCGTTCCCTGAGAGCGGGTAAAGGGTTGTGTATTTGCATTTTTTTTTTTCTTTTTTTAAGTGGGGAGGGCAGGTCTTTTAAAAATTCCCGAAAATCCTCCACTGTACCTTTAAGTAACTGATAAAACTTCCTTCTCCATTAGTAACTGTTTGGTAGAGAGCAGCAATTATTGCCGCTTTAATTTAATTTTTTAAAATTTTGAAACAGCAAAGAACCTCCATACCACCATAAGTGTATCCCTGCTATCATATTTGACTGTAGGTATGATTTTCATGGTAGATCATACAAGAAGGACATTGGGTTCCATCAAATCTACTGACAAAAGTCTCTTTCTTAGTATTAATGATAACCTCAAATGTAGCCAATAGTGCTGAGTGCTTGTCTGACCTTCACCGATGCTCTCCTTGAGTAATTTTGGAAGTGCAGGATAATAACTCTTATTGGTTCGCTGTTGCCTTACAAATGTTTTGGTTACAATTTCTGTACTCATAGATGACAGTGACTTTTTCTCCCCTCTTTCCTGAACTTCTTTCATTCCTGATGTAGCAAGAAATCTCAGTCAGGGGGAGGCAATTGAAACTGACACTAGAAACAGTTTCCCCCCCCCAAGCTGATTCATGATTCAAGGTGGGAGGGAAATCTTTTTTTTTAACTAACTGACAGCTTTAAAATCTCAGGTTATGTTTGTATGATATATATAAAAAAGGGCGATTATCTTAAAAATTTGCATTTTAAGGAAAGAGAAAAAGGATGAGACATCTGTAAGGGGGCACATACTCTTCACAATCACATTATGCATAGATATAAATATAGTGTAGGAGCAAGCTTGACACTTCTGATGTTTAAAAGCAGAGTCTATGCCAGGAAACAAATAAACCTCAATTAATTTAACTAATTTGATAAAAGGTGTCTGTAAGAATTATGCCATTGGATAGAAGTGGAGAGAGATTTACATGGTTGAGTATGCTGGCATAACAAAAAGCCCCACATACAACAGATTGACATATTATCTACAACTGGTTTGTTTTTAAAAATCCCTAAAATAGGATATTGCCTGACTTCAATCTACAATTCAAAGCCCAAGATTTCTTACTAAAATGCTTCTGCTGCTTTTGTGTAGACAGCTACAAAAAAAAGAATTATGCAAAAAAAGACAATGAAACAAATTAGCGGAAAAGATTATTAATGACGAGCTATAAAACACATGCATTACCATGATGTTTGAAACATTTTGCTATTATGAACTGAACGCTTAAGGTGGGAGTTTAAAAAGGAACCAGCTGAGAACAGAAAGGTTATCACATAAAACTCTTGGCTCCCCCAAAAAACCCTAAAAAGCAAAACAAATTTGACATTTATGCTGTTATAAAGGAAATTAATAACTTGTGAATAATCTAGCAACACAGAAGCTGTGAGTCTGTTTTTACCCTCAAGGCCATCTTTAATTTGATGGTGGAACTTGGTCCAGAGTTCTTCAGAGAAAAGCACTGCGCCAGCGTCATGTTCTCCTCCAGACAGAAGCCTACTCAAAGGCACACGCAAAATACCCAGTGTGCATTTGTGCTTATCATAAAATCATAAAAACAGTTTTTCTTTCCA